AAAAAAGAAAAACAAAACATTTAATGGAGACGAAAATGGAAAATTACCTGTTGATTAGGTGTATGATAATGTCCTTGGCTGGGCCAATGTGCAGTATATTTTTTTGCCTGGAAAGTTCATTTGGGATGCTGTAAAGCCATACAGTAATTAAATGTAAAAAAAAAAATGGAAATAAAAAAAGAATATGAGTATCCTTTGGTGCAAAACATGTTTTTGAAATCCATGCATTTTTTTTTTTTTTGGAGAGATTTTCACTGTAGGGCGCATTCACTTGCCAGACAGACAGAGAGAGACATAGAGACAGAAAGCGAGAAATCACCCCCAGGGAGGATGGTCACGCCGCAATCCCTTCTCCTCCATTCTCCTCTCGGGATCTTGGGCACGCACGCACACGCGCCCGGAGTGAGTTTTAAGCCACCAGGTCCGGGACACGAACCGCGGTCGACTACGTGGGAGTCCAGCGACATAGCCATTACGCTAACTGCTGGTTCCCCATTTTTTTTCTTAATACACATTTTCAATGCATTTTTTGAAGACCCTTGTCTAATTAAAACAATATATATGTATGTATGTATGTGTGTGTATGTGTGTTGTTATGTGTGTGTGTGTGTGTATACAGAGATTTTTTCTTTTTTTTTTTTTGGAGAGGTTTTTCGCTATAGGGCGCGTGCGCTCACCAGACAGACAGAGAGAGACATAGAGACAGAAAGCGAGAAATCACCCCCCAGGGGGGATGGTCACATCGCAATGCCTTCTCCTCCATTCTCCTCTCGGGATCTTGGGCATGCACGCACACGCACCCGGCGTGAGTTTTAAGCCACTGGGTCCGGGACGCGAACCATGGTCAACTACGTGGGAGTCCAGCGACATAGCCATTACACTTACTGCTGGTTCCCCAGAGATTTTTTCTATAGGGCGCATGCACTCAGAAAGACAGAGAGAGAAACACAGAAAGTGAGAAATGACCTCCTGTGGGACTGGTCATGCCTCAGTCCCTTCTCCTCCATTCTCTTGGGATTTTGGTCTCACATGTGCACACACCTGGTCTGAGTCTTAAGCCTCCTCGGGTCTGGGACTCGAAACATGGTAGACTGTGAGAGTGTAGCAATGTAAGCATTATGCCACCTGCTGGTCCTGATACCCATGCTGTTCTGACAACACTGATTACAGCTAAGTGGACACTGTGTCGGATGTAACACACTGAAGTCTGAGTGAGCCGGGTGGCCTGATTTAGTTATTCTGTAATTTTCACAAATTAAGTTCGGTCCCTTTATCAGAAAGCACTAGGCATACTGGCATAGGAAAATCTGACAGAGTTATGCATGCCTTGCTTGCAGTTACCAGATTGAAACCCTCTAGGTGAAAGAATGGTGATTAGATGAATCCTTGTCAAATATCGATTCTGGCTGCCTCGGTCGAAGCCGACTGAGCCTGTGGCCAGCGACGCCTCGGGCTCCCTTGTAACGGAAGAAAATTTATGACTGAAAGGAGACATTCCGAAATGAGGACTCTATAAGTAGAAGAGGGTAAAGCTGAAAAGTATACACACACACACACACACACACACACACATATTCTGTTTAAAGTAAGACGGAGGACTGAGGATGAAAATAATAAGCACACTGAATATCTATTAGTTTCTGGCTTCCTAAGGCACATTTTAAAGTGAGTCACTCCCTGACTATGGTTTATTAACATTTATAACATTAAAAACTAAAAGGAAAAATACCCAGTATCTGTACAGCTCCAAAAGCACAAAATATAGTAAAAGTATCTAGATTTAGAAAATCGGGCATTTATTTTTCCAAAATTTCACCCCTAGCTCTAGTGCCATAAGCAAGTTATTCAAGTTTTTAGGATGCCGACGACTTCATTTTTTTCTTTTTCTAATTGTCAGAAAGCATATGTCTTTGCCAGAGAAAGAGAGAGGCGAGAAGGAGAAAGCACCCTCAAGGGGCATGGTTAGAAAATTAGTTTGGGGGCTGGTTTCACAACCTGGTGATTGAGGCAACCACTCCCACATGGCCACTCCAGTGGGTCGAGTCCGTTCCTGGTGATTTAAACACGCCAGGTGCGGTTAGGAGGTAGAGGAAAGGGGGGTGGGGACTGTGTTGTGACCATGCTCCATGGGGGTGGGGGAGATGCTCTCTCCTCTTCCTCTCTGGCACATGTGCCCTCTAGCAAACATACATACATACCTGCGTAGATTGGTTTTAGATCAGACAATAAGTCTTCAATGTCTCAATGTCTCCGCCATACATAAAATATACGTGCACACACACACACACACGGTCATATCTAATTTGTAAAACTGTTATCCTATTTATCATTATTACTATTGTTTAATTTTACCAGAGAGAGATTAGAGAGAAAGAGGGAAAGCAACAGTGTAAGTCACCAGGTCCAGGACTCCATCCGCAGATGACCGTGTGGGAGTCCAGCACCCTAACCACCATGCCACCTGCTGGAGTCATATTTCATTTTGGTAAGAATTTTATGCAAGAATTTTACTCTTTGAAAAATGAGGAAACTGAGGCTGAGCAAGCCTAAGCAGTTTCCTTAAAGTTAAAATTACCTGACCTGCATGTGATTTTGTTTCAGAAAATAAGTTATTTCAGAAAAATGCAAAGTCAGCCAATCCCCCCCCCCCCGCAATTGCCAGAGGGCACACGCACTTGCCAGAGGAAGGCAGAGAGAAGGAGAAAGTGAACTCCAATGGGCTATGACACTGCCACCCCTTTTCCCCCAGTTCTCTATGCTGTAGGGATTTGGGGCACACGTGCATATGCACCTAGAATGTTTCTCAAGCTGTTGGGTTTGGAATTCCAGGACAGAGTCAGCCATGGGGGATCCATAATCATAAGGCCACAGGGCTGGTCCACTGGTTATTTATTAAACAAACCAACAAACAAAAAAAAACAAAAAAATCCTGTGTAGCTAATGAGAGAATATGTTGTAGGTTGAATTGTGCACCCCGATTCCCCCCAAAACATACAGTGAAGTCCTAAATTCAAGCCCCTGTGAATGCGCCCTCGTTGGGAAACAGGTTTGTGCAGATAAAATCACGCCAGAGCGTAGTCATATGGGTTCAGGTGGGTCGTAAACCCAACCATGTCCATGCCGGTCCTTACGAGAAGACGACGTGAAGGCACAGGGACATACAGGAAGAGTCCCACATAAAGACAGAGGCAGAGTGTGGAGTCAGCATCTGTAAGCCATGGAGGGGTAAAAGTGGCCAGGAACCCCCAGGAGTAGCAGAGAGGCACCTGCCCTCAGCCTCCAGTGGAAAACAATAGCGCCTGCATCTGGAGTGTGGACTTCTGGCCTCCAGAGCTGTAGGAGGTCACATTTTTGTTGTTGTAAGCTACCCAGTTGTGGTACTTTGTACAGCAGCCATAAGAAATGAATAAAAAAGGCTTATTTATCTATTTTTGGTTTTTGCCATAAGCATTCACCAGAGAGAGAGACAGACAGGGAAAGTAAGAAATCACCCCTTGGGAGCAGTGGCCCTACCTTAACCCTTTCTCCTCCATTTTTGTCTCAGGAAAGGCATGGCACATATAAGCACATGCACCTTGCTTGATTTTCAAGCTTCTGGATCCCGGACTAGAACTATGGTTGTCCCTGTGGGAATTCAGTGCCTTAACCACTATGCCACCTGCTGACCCCACAGAAGGTTTATTTGTTTAATTTCTTTGTTGTTTTGAGAGTTTTTTACTTTTTATTTATTTATTTTTCTATAGTGTGCATGTACTCGCCAGAAACACAGAGAGACACAGAGAGACAGAAAGTGAGAGATTACCCCCCGCCCAAAGGGGATGGCCACGCTGTAATTCCCTTCTCCATTCTCCTCTCGGGATCTTGGGCACACATGCACACGCACCTGGCATGAATTTAAGCCACTGGGTCCGGGATTCCGACGTGGTACACACACAGGAGAGCCCAGCGACATAGCCATTACCGCCAACTGCTGGTCTCTAAATTTATTTTATATACTGGGGCTGGCAGGTGGCATAGTGGTTAAAGGCACTGGACTCCCACCTGACCAACGGCGGTTTGAATCCTGGACCTGGCATCTTGCTTTCTCACCTTCCCTCTTTCTCTTTCTCACTCTGTCCCACTCTGGTCAAATTAAAGCAAACAAACAAATAAAGTTAAATACAATAATTCTTTAAAAACAAACAAAAAACAAAAACAAATTTATTTTGTGTATTTAATCACTGTACATCACTTGGCTTGTAAAGTGAATTTATCCAACACAAATACACCTCACATCAGTCCAGCTGAGGATCCTATACAGATTATCAAGAGACAGCAATCCACTCTCTGTAGTATCTATAACGATTTCCCATGCTTCTATCTATGTCCTCTAATCTTTCAGTTACACATCCTTCTTAAAGATACAGCATACACTAGACTTAGGTCACTCTGTTCAAGTGTTATGTGTACGTTTTAACAGGTAACAATATTTTTCTCTTGTCTCTGAGGTTTCTTGTTAAAAGTAACCATTGTTTGGGGCCATCAAGTGCCATGGTGGTTAAGGTGCTGAACTTCTACATGGCCAACTGTGGTTCAAGTCCTGCATCTGGTGGCTCGAAAATCACACCTGGCACATGTGTATGTGTACCCAAAGTCCCTAGAGGAGAATGGAGGAGAAGGGACTGCAGTGTAGGTACCCTCCCAGGGGGGATTTGTTACATTCTCTCTCACTGTCTCTTTGTCTCTCTCTGGTGAGCGCATGCGCTCTATGTCAAAAACCTTTCAAAGAAAAAATGTCATTGTTTCAGAAACTTGGTGTGTTCATTTGTTTTTGGTCTGTTTGGTTTTAATCGTGCCGGAAGGAGACCATGTATTTGTGTCTGCTCTCCTGGGCTATCTGGAAGGATAGATCGTCTCTCCAAGTGCCTTGTCAGCATTAAAGCAGTGAACTAGGGGCTTTTTACTCCATTAGGGGACGGTATAGTCGCTGAAGGAAATTGATATTTCTCATGTACTTACAGGAAATACCATTTTCAGCTGAAAGGATAGGAAAAACAGTCCAGTCAACATAAGGCAGCCACATAACCAAGAAATGACACTTTCTAACATGACCGAATTTGACCCCGGGCACAGCTAACAACAGCCAGCCACACCGAAGTTCATCCCGATGGTAAGGCATCAGTGACATGTGACCATTTTAACTTTTTAGACCATTTGTTTTCCACAGTGACAGAGCACAGCAGAATCCCTGGTAATCTTTAAAAATACATATAAATAAATACACAGGACTACCTCTGAGATTCTGATGCAAGGAGTTGGGGAAGGCCTGGGTACAGACAGTTTTAAAAACAGTGTTTGTGATTCTGATGTGCAGCCTTGGTTGATAACCTCGGTTATAACTAATACAAAAGGAGTAGCTCTTTTGGCTGTGGGTGTAGCGTCAGGCTCAGCACCCAAAAACTCATTCTAGCTTTGCAGCACTGTTTTCAAAGTTACTTCATTCTCATCACCCTTGTTTAACTGGTTGTAAGGGCCAAGTGTACAAGTTAATTGTTAACCAAAAACTAGTCAACATTTGAACAGGCCATAATGTTTTGTATTTATATTATTTTACATTTATATTAAATTATCAACTCACAACTTTAACAGCCATAGAATCATAACAAAGAATTGTGATTGTGACAAACCCACCCTTAATCAAAACAGGGCTTAGGCAACCACGTTTCTTCTTCCAGTTTTGAGAACGATGGCGCACTGTATCACAACCGTTAAGATCTATCTGCATCACACGCAGGTTCAATGTATGGGTAACTGATGCTTACATTGCATTCCGTTCGTTGGGTGACATAATGCTCTCTCTGCAGAATTTATGTAATTAAAAAAAAATACTTAAAAGGATCAGCAAATGGCATGATGGTTAAGGCACTGGACTCCCACATGGCTGATCATGGTTTGAGTCCTGGACCTGGCAATTTGAAACTTAAACTGGCTGTGTGTGCATGTGTGCTCAAAATCCTGAGAGGAGAATGGATTGTGGTGTGGCCATACCCCCTGGCGGGTGATTTCTCACTTTCCCTTTCTTTGTCTCTCTCTAGCAAGTGCTTGTGCTCTATAGCAAAACAAAAACATAAGAAAAAAAAAAAAAAGAGAGAGATTAAAAAAAAAAATTCCTACCTGATTTCTTTTTTTTTTTTTTTTGGCCATGCTAAACTAATAGTTTCTAGGTCCTTGGCCAATATTTCTTGATGCTAAAATGATCCTGAGAGTATGACAACTATCCCTGGAATCTGGTCTAAGATATTTGCTGATTTCATTCAAAAACCACTTCTTGCTCCTCGTTCAGTGTGATGAGAAGTACAATTATATTTCAGTGAATCTCTGAGTGGAGTAGAAAGAGCATGTAAAAACTTCTGAGAACTGGATACTTTGGCACATGTAGACACAAAAACCCTGAGAAATAGCTTTATTTTCAGCTCTTTATTTTCAGCAATTGAAAATAAATCTTCAGACATATGCCCAGGATGACCAGACAGAGCTTCGTAAGTGGTAGTTTGTAACACTGAGCTCAGAGCACCGCGTGGCACACTGGCCGGCCCTGAAGTACCATGCATGCAGTCGCTGCATGTGCACAACACGCACGGTGCTTTAGGCCGACCTGCTGCCTTGGAAATGCTGCTCGGTGAGTCTGCGGGGACGTTTTTCTCACTTCATCAAATGTCACATATATAGACAATTGTCTTATGGCTCCAGTGGATCTGATTTTTTTTTTATTAGATATGTCATAGAAGCTGCAAGTGGCACAGCTGGAAGATTTTACGGACATTTCACTGAATATTGTATCTTTTTTGTGCTATCCTCTTGGCTCTAAAATATTGGGCTCTGCCCAGAACACATGCTGTTACCACAACAACAAACAGATCAACTGGAAGGATACCCTTCGCCTGGAGCATTTTTGCAAGTCTGAATGTGGAGCTGGGTGATGAATTGAAGAAGATACTTAAAGGACAGATAGAGAGCATCTCAAGACACACATGCAGGTGCGTGCGTACGCACACGTACACACACACACACACACCCATGAACCCGTATGTCGATGTTGGGTGGTACTTACTACTCACGGTGATAAAATGTTTTATCATCGTTCTTGGCCTGACCAGCTCTGTTGATTCTGCATCTAATATTCCTTCTGTCATTCCGTCTATTAAATTTATTGAATGTACCGTAGTCGATCTAAAAGTAAAAACTAGACTCAGTCTCTAATGGTATCAACACGTAAGCATGTGTTTCCCTCGGCTACAATGAAGGGAGATGGAACTTTCTTCTGTTACCCAAATCAGAGCTGTGGGAATCTTCTAGATGATTCTGTTCTGATGTGATGACAGTGTGGAGTGTTGGCCAAACGTATGGACGCTGGAGACACCTTGCTGAGCAGCCAGTCCCAGCCCCACCTCCTGCTGCTGAGCAATTCTGGACAAGTACATAACCTCTCTGTGCGTCCAACTTCTCACTTAGAAAACCAAGCAGGTAACGTACCTGTCTCAGAGGGCTGAACACAGTCGGCTAACGACCGCTTGGCATGCGGGGTGGCAGCTGACCGTTGTAGTGTGTGATTACTTAAAATATATTTTCATGTTCATTTAAACAACATTATTGCCTTTAATTTTCTTCTCCATAATTTCAGCTGGCTAAAATAAATTGAAGCTATATTTTTATTTCGCTTATTATGACAAATAAGCTTAAATATAAAAATGTTAATTTCTGCCTGTTTGGGGTGAAACGGAAGAGCAGGATTATGCCACTCTGTCTGTGGGCAAGGTTTCGGGCTGAGTAAAATAATGCGCCAAATAAAGTTCAGGATGATTAAGGATATTTTCTTTTTTTTTTTTTTTTGGAGAGGTTTTTTTGGCTATTGAGTGCATGCACTTACCAGACAGACAGAGAGAGACAGAGACACAGAAAGCGAGAAATCACTCCCCAGGGGGTATGGCCATGCTGCAATCCCTTCTCCTCCATTCTCCTCTGGGATCTTGGGCATGCATGCACATGCGCCTGGCGCGAATTTAAGCCACCGTGTCCGGGATGCGAACCACGGTCGACTACGTGGGAGTTTAGCGACATAGCCATTACGCTAACTGCTGATCCTCCAGGACATCTTCTTTACTGTGAAACTTATTTTTCAAATATTTATCAAGATACTGAATTAAGGGACCAGCAGATGGCATAATGATTATGTTGTTGGACTCCCCCATAGTGGACCACGGTTCGAGTCCCTGACCTGGAGGCTTAAAAACTCACTGCAGGTGCGTGTGTGTGCATGCTCAAAATCCTGAGAGGAGAATGGAGGAAAAGGGATTGCGGCATGGTCATACCCCCTCAGAAGTGATTTCTCACTTTCTCTCTATCTCTCTGCTCTGTCTCTCTGGCAAGTGCATGTACCCTATAACAAAAGACCTCTCTAAAAAAAAAGATATTGAATTGAAAAATTGTTCAGTGGGGCCAACAGTGGCATGGTGATTAAGGCGCTGAACTCCCACATGGCTGACCACGGTTTCAATCCAGATGTGGAGGCTTTAAAATAACACTGGGCACATGTGGATGCGAGTCTAGAATCCCAGGAGGAGAGTGGAGGAAAAGGGATTGCAGCATGGCCTCCCCACAGGGCGATAATTTCTTACTTTCTCTCTCTCTTTCTCTCTCTGTCTCCCCTCCAGAGAGTGCATGAGCCCTGTGGCAAAAATCTAAAAGTGAAAGAGAGAGAGAGAGAGAGAGAGAGAGAGAGAGAGAGAGAAATGAGACAAAATGTGAACACACAAGTAGGTACTAAAGCTCAGTTGTGGACTGAGAAGATGAAGACAATTTCTTGACCTTGTTTTGGGTTTTAAAGTTGCCAATTTTAAGAAAAATAGTAATGTTAATATAACAATCTCTAATATAATATCATTGGTTTTATGATTCATTAAAGTCTAAAGTATGTTGCAAATAACATAAAATGCCATAAAAACTTATAAGAAAAAATATGAAACATAGCTTGCATCATCATTTTATTATTATGGGATGAATATGGTTAATGTTTTGAAGTATTTTCATGTAAAATTTAATACCCACTCCCAATTTGGACAGTACTGTGAACAAAAGTTATATTCTTGTCTTACTTTTTATGTAAGAAGTGTAGCTAAAGCAGTTTGCAAATATTCTACATAAGCATGACTTCACCAGCTGATCAGTGTTCTGTTATGTGTCTCTATCATGGTTATTTTCATCATTTCACTTTTGTTGGTCAGTTAGATTTTAAAAATTTTGTTATTAAAAAATACAATTTCAGTGAACATTCTGTTACAAAACTCTTTCATCTCATTTATCATTGTTGCATTAAGATAGATTTCTAGAAATGGAATTACTGCAGCGAAAGGACTGAGTATTTCAGTTAACAGTCTTGGGGCAGAGGACCAATTTGCTTTTCTAGTTTGTTTCACTTTACGCTCACATCAGCAGTTTTGGAAATGTGTATCTCACTGAAATCATGATGACAGAAGGTATTATAATTATTTAGAGTATTTTTAATCTGATAGAAATATACATATGATTAATATTTTAATTTGCATTCTGTTATCACTAGGAAGCCTTAATTTTAAGTGTTTTAAAATTACTTTTTTACTTTTTAGAATTTTTACTTATCTGAAAATTTTGGGGTAGACATTTTTCTTTTCTTTTCTTTTCTTTTTTAAGAGGTTTTTGCTGTAGGGTGCATGCACTCGCCAGGAAGACAGAGAGACAGAAAGTGAAAAATCACCCCTTGGGGGAATGGGTACGCCGCAATCCCTTCTCCTCCATTCTCTTCTTGGGATCTTGGGCACGCACGCGCATGCACCTGGTGTGAGTTTAAGTCACTAGGTCCGGGACTTGAACGGTGGTCGACTACATGGGAGTCCAGAGACATAGCCATTACACCAACTGCTGGTCCTGGGCATTTATCATTTTTATTACTTATACATGTACTTTGTCCAGGTGATGTAAACTCAATGGTCATTCATCCATTTTCACAATGAATAGCTCTTTGACTTGAACAACTAAGGATTATATTTCCCAGCCAATGTTTATATTGTGTTTAGGTCTTTATTCATTACATTTTAAAAATAATTACTACTGGAATGTAGGAATTGATGTGTATTGATTGTTTTTTTTTTTTTTTTTTTTTGGGAGAGGTTTTTGCTATAGGGAGCGTGCGCTCGCCAGACAGACAGAGAGACAGAGAGATAGAATGCAAGAAATCACCCCCCAGGGGGGATGGTCACGCCACAATCCCTTCTCCTCCATTCTCCTCTTGGGATCTTGGGCATGCACGCAGACGCGTCGGCTACGTGGGAGTCCAGCAACATAGCCATTACGCTAACTGCTGGTCCCGATTTGTATTGATTTTGAATATTTACTTTGTAACCAAACACTGTTACACTCTTACTTGTGCTACTTTTATCTAATTTTAGCTGATTTTTTTTTTTGATGCTTAGTTAAAATATATATGTAAATAAGAATATTCTCTTTGCTTCCGAAATTAATGTCTTGTATTTGTGTCTGTCTTGGCTTGAAATTGATATAGAACTCGAGAATTACCTAGAATAACTTAGAAAATTCAGGCAAGGTTAAGCACAGATTTTTTTTTTTGAGAGGTTTTCGCTATAGGGTGCCAGACAGAGAGAGACAGAAAGCGAGAAATCACCCCCCAGGGGGGATGGCCACAGCGCAATCCCTTCTCCTCCATTCTCCTCTCGGGATCTTGGGCACGCACGTAGACGCGCCCAGCGTGAGTTCTAAGCCACCGGGTCTGGGACAGTGAACCGCGGTCGACCACGTGGAACAGCGACATAGCCATTACGCTAACTGCTGGTTCCCCAAGCACAGATTTTAATGGAAAACTATTCTTTCTGAAAATATGCTTCTTTGTATGTCTTTGCTATGATTTGTTGAAAAAGTACTTTGTACCACGTGGTGCATGTGCCCTGTATTATACTTCAATTTTGTTGTACATGATTTAAATAACCAAAAATATTTATTAAATTATAATAAATGGCTTTTCATCATCTATTAAGATGGATTCTCAAAGCCAGCAAGTGGCGTTATGGCTAAGGCACTGGACATTCCCTCATGACCAACCATGGTTTGAGTCCTGAGCCTGGTGGCTTGCTTTTCACTTTCCCTCTCTCTCTGTGTGTCTCTCTCTGATCAAATTAAAATAAATGAATGAATAAATAAATTATTCTTTCTTAAAAAAGATGAATTCTATGCCTTTAACGTTTTAATCTATTGGTATAATAAATATACTAATAGTATTATTATTGTTTTTTTTAAAGAAGTACTTGTTGTATTTTATTTATCATGATTATTTTTAAATTTGCCACAAGGCATATGGGATCACCAGAGAGAGCCAGAGAGAGAGAGAAAGAGAGAGAGAGGGAAAATGAGAAAGCAAGCTGTCAAGGTTGGTACTCGAACCACAGCTACCATGTGGGAGTCCAGCACCCTTAACCACCATGCCACCTGCTGGCCCCAGTATTTTTATTATTGAACTGTCTTTGCTATGTTAGAGTTTATCTTGGGAATTATTATTGGACTTATTTGTAGGATTTGGAGATTATTATTGGAATTTATTGTAGGATCACCGGTAGGATTATTATTATTGAATATATTATAGGATTTCATGTGGTGCTATTTTAATTTCTTTGTATTCATGTTCTTAAGTGAAATTATTAAGTAGCTTTTCACTTCATGTCCTTTTTCTAGGTTTTGATTTTTTAAAAGAATTATTTTATTTAACTTTATTTTTTAATTTAATGAGAGAGTGACCAGAGTGAGAAAGAGAGAGGGAAAGTGAGAAAGCAAGCCACCAGGCCCAGGATTTGAACCGTGGTCGACCATGTGGGACTCCAGTGCTCTTAACCACCACGCTACTTGC